ATGATGTATCATATAATATAAGTATATTCTGTCTGTGTGAATGTGTATAAATAGCTATTTAATACTATTAATTTAATTTATATACACACCTAGAGCCAAACACTTGCTTTTTGATAGGAAACAGCATGTTTGGCACCAAAAACGGGGTTCACTCAGGTTCTTGGGTTAATCAGGTACGTGTCCAGTGCTTCAGTGACATGACGACAAATGCAAACATTTGAAGGTGACGTACATTCTTTTGGTTCCGCCTTTTTGTGATACCTACTCAAACATTGGAATTCAAGTCACCCAAGTCTCCCAAGGCCTGGACTTTCTTCAAGAGCTGTGGGCGCCACAGAGCTTCGAAGAACACCTCTGCTGCCTGCGGTTCGACTCAATGATGTACTTTGTGTGCGTTCCAGATTCTAGCACTTTGAATACATATTCATACATGGTGAGATCCAAAAAGTCAATGATACCTGGCATATTTTACCTACATTGGGGCGGTGGAACTGGCATCAATGTAGGAGTGTGTGTTGTATTGCATATGTATATTATATATATATATACATTTGGCAGTGAGACATCGCTTCCACCGTTGCAGGCCCTATTGTTTCAACCCCCAAAAGGTCAAAACCTCTCGCCCCGGCATGCACACAGCCCGCCCCCACAGCATCAAGCCGCAGCTTTTGACGTTTTTCAGCAGCTTCGCCCGCTGGGCGGCGAACACGACGTGCTGTGCCCAACCGGCATGAGGCCCCCAGTGCTCACGACAAAGCTCAGCGATGTCACGGTGCAATCTGGGAGTCAGCGAGCCTCCCAACTCCAGCACGTACGCGTGCATGGAGAAACGCAGGGGGGTGGGGGTGAAGCTTTCATATACAGTGTTTTAAGATGTATATAGAGTGTTTGAAAGAGGTGACCCTATTTTCCATTATTTTCCTCTACTACTTAACAGTCATGAAGTTTCACCTTGCTCAACCTGTATATATGTGTTTCAAACAGAAGTATGCAAAAACAAATTCCCAAGAAACAACTGTGGATCAACTCAGTCATCGATTCCACAGCTCTTCGGCCTCCTTTCAGCCTTCGCGCCATTGCCGGAGGGGCAAAGCGCTGGGCGACGCGTGCGACGTGCACGTCCACCGGGACAGCGTCATGAAAGCCGAGCCTGAGAAGGGATTCGGATCTGGTCATAGGCCTGGAAACCGTAAGGACACGGTGAAACACCACCCAGTCCCAACACCTGACAAAAACACCCACACACACACCATATCACACCATCCCCTGTTCAACAGCTGTGGAGGATGGCTCCGGTTCAGCAATGGTTTTGAATGTGGGCTCTTAGTGAGGGACTAGGTCAGTGGAAATGCAACGCGACCGGGTCGTTGTGATGAACGCTGCCTTGAACATCTGTTCACTGCTGTCTTCATTTGCCTGCACCCGGCGTGAAGAATGTTGACGCCCTGATTGAAACCAAACTTCAAACATCTTCAAGCCCTACTTCAAATCCTCAAAACATCTTCCCCACTTCCACCCCCCACTCTTCCCCACCATGACACCCATAGAGCGCCACACAGGCAGCCACCTTGGGCCCGACTCCCGGCAGCCGCTGCAGCGTTCGCTCGGCCTCCGCACGCCCGGTGCCCAGCGAGCAGTGTAAGGCTTCCAGGTCCAGCCCGGCGCGGAGCGCACGCAGGGTGCCATGGAGGTAGGGACTCCGGTAGCCGAGGCCACAGGCGTGCAGGTCCTGCAAGAAGCAAATCCTTCCAGCAGTGCAAAGGTGCCCAATAGAGGTGGGTCGATGATGGTCCATGTATGTCAAGAGATGTCAAGAGTATCTTAGGTCGTTTGTGTTGATCTGCGTGGCACATGACAGCAATGGCCTGAATGATCCCTCTGAGTGTCCACCACAGAAAGAAAACGCATGTCAAATCCATTGTAGAGGCACGGGACGCTGCACGGGTCGCTCCGCTGTGGAGCTTTATGTGGGGTCCACGGCTTGGGGTCCCAACTGACCAGCATTCCTTCGAGTCCATGTCCATGGAGCTGGGAGGGCCTAAATGCCGTCGGACTCTGTCAAACCAGTGGCGGGCCATGGAGGGCCATGTCCAGATCAGCTAGCCATGTCCCAGCAAGGCAAGAATCACATGCCAAAGGAACACAGAAGCAAGCACGAAGACAAAAACATTAAAAAAACGGACTCAAACCGCTGGAGTGCGGAAACCAAACGGAGCAAAAGAAGCTGAACATTCTAGACTCTTCACAGCATCTTCTGGGTGACTTAGGAAAGCTTACCCAAGAAATGGAGCATCCTGGCTGTTCAAACCCTTGGTTGTTTGTTCATGTCGAACAGTGCGTGCTGCTTTGATGTTGATGATTGTTTGTTTGAATCTGTCCTTTAATGTAATTCCTTTAATGTCATTTAAAATGTTTAAGGATCTTTATACATGTTCAATCTTAGTGTCGTCGTGGAATCAACCACTAGGCCGTCCTCTTCGGGCAGCTCGGCCAGTGCTTGCAGGGTGGGAAAGCCATAGAGCTTGCCATGGGAGGCAAGCTCTTCCACGTGGCTGGGCACCCGCCCAGCCCCCGCGGTTTGGTACGCCTCAGATGTGCCGAACGCTTCGACCGCCGAAGCGGTCACCGGTGACCGCCCAAGGGAAAGGCACCTTCTCCAAAGAGTAAGGTTGGTGTTCCATTCCCACTTATTCCATCATAGATAGACTCGGACCCACCAATAGATAGAAAAGTAGATGCCCACTAACAACGTATTGGAAACCGCTTCCTTCTATCTATTTATTCAACCTTAGTCAAGGATGATCCAGACTCACTTGGCATTCCGGTGACCGCGTCGTCACAGTGCCTGCTTTGGGGGGGCTCTCCGGCCTCCAGCATCTCCTTGCGCCTCGCAGGCACCAGCTCTGCCAAGGGATCCCCGGCGAGAGAGCGCAGGCGGTCGAGGGTGAGGACGATGCGCGAGACGTTGTTGTTGGCCGAGCAAAGGAAACTCACGAGGCATTCATCCGGGTCCTGCCACGAGTTTTCTGCAGCCAAAGAACACACAGCCCGCCCGTTTTGCTTCCCCCGCGCCCACCACCCAAAAAGAGTATGAAAAAGTGAAAGAATGTGAAAGAACATGTTCAATGACAACACCCGTCAATTTTGGAGCGCGGCAGTTCTTGCAGAAGGGAAGATCTTCAAAAAAGGCTCCCGAAAAACATGGGAATCCACCGCACGGTCCGTCCTGTCGAAGCACTCGCGCGCCTGGCAGCGCCTCCAGGGCCTCTTGTGCCAGCGCATCCCAGTCCTGAAGGTGAAGGCCCCAAAAGAATATCGAACCTATAGTGGTTTCAGAATAGATGGCACAATCCCCAATAGATGGTTTATATGGGCCCCCATCTAAAAGACCTCTTTCTTGTGCCAGTGCCATCTACTCTAAAACGACTGTCCGAGCCTATCGACCTGGATCATCCAAAAGAGTGCAAGGGATCATCCCCTGGTCCTGTCTACGATCTTGCTCCGAATAAAAACCCACACGTTCCTACAACTTGGTTGATCCTTTTCAAGCCTGGCCCTTGGACCAACCTGAGTTTGCATGGCTCAAGTTAAGGCTCTTTCGAGATGAGTTCCAACGATACTTCCGGGGCGTCAAGGTTCAAATATGCTCGAAGCTGCTGAAGATCTAGCTCGTCGCCTGCGAAGGCTGGAAAGGGGTCACTGAGGCGACCAACATGGATTGGTCTGCCAAAGCGTCTTTTGAAAAATGATGTGTGACGTTTCCGGGGGTGGAGGTTTGTCAGTTTTTGTGCATGGGAGGGTGTTTGTAACTGCTCTTCGTCCGTCTTTCATGGAAGGAAGTGCCATGAAGTCCCTACATATGTCCCTTGATGCAACTGACAAGAAAGGGACTAAACATGCGGAAATGCAGAAAAAAAACACGTAAAGGAAATCCTCATGGTCCGGGGGCGTATATCATTGCAGGACGTCCATGGATACCCAACCGAGAGAAAGCACGCAGCAAACCCACATGAACATGAATCATTACAGTCTTGTTGGTGCTTTCAAGGCACTGGAAAATATGGCTCACAGGGCTCAATCTCTCCAAGTTCCCGAGCAAAGATTGAACCATACAATTACCTGAAACATCCTGAAACCACGCACCGCAGCAGCTTTGGTGGCCACAAAAACCCATCCACCGGTCGCACCGGGCGCACACGACCCGAAGAGATCTGTCTCCCCAGGGCAGGCTGCTTTGTGCATCCAAGAGGCCGTTCAAAGCTCTGGCCAAGGTGTCTTCTTCCTCACTCCTCGCGGAACCGAGAAAGTCAAAAACATCGGTTTTTTGGAGCAAGCGTGGCTATACCTATGCTCAAGCTGAGAAGAGTGAACCTCAGCAAATTTTGACACAGAAGCTGGTTGAGGTGTTGTGCATTGGATTTCCCCATCTAAAGGTGGTTTGGTTTATGATGTTTATGTCTAGTCCATTCAACAACCGCACTTTGACTTGCATTTGGACCAAGAAGAGGCCAAACGGCCTGGTGTCTACTTTCCAGGAGCCGCGGGCGCCGGTTCCACAAACAAATTTAACATGTGCCTCAACCAATCCTGGGCTGGGAGAGAAGCTTGGTGCAATTGATCAAATCATTTTGGCCTTGTACCTGCTCGCAGGGAGATTGCAGGATGCATTCACTCGTAAACGTGTGACACTGGGCAACACAACAGGGCACCTTACATGGTGGATAGCGGTGCAACATCCCGGCGCCTATCTGGTTATGCAAAACTTTGCAGAGCCCACTGGTAGGAGATATTAGCATTATGGAGGATCGAGTGGATCTGTCGTCTGTAGCTCCCTCTCAAAAGTCCCCCTGCAGAATAGGCGGCCAGGCTTCGCGTACTTACACGAACGGCGGATCCGGTGTAGCGGGGAACAACCTCACACTCCAGCGTCATCCCGCGTTCGTCCGCAGTTGGCATAATTACATGTCTGGGAGCAATTGGTAGGTGTCCGGTGTCCGGTTCCAAGGTGGGAAAAAGTTGCTCCATTCATCCACCTGTCCAGCACGTGGGCCCCTAGTATATACCCCACGAGGACATCGACGTCGACGCTACGGAAAAAACGCTGCCATCAAGCCAGAGCGCGCCTGAGCACCACTGCCTGGTCACGGATGACACCCAGCCACTCCTGCTGGCTGACGCGCTTCCAGTGGAAGCATTGCCCCGTCTCCAGGCTTGAGGAGGCCCGGAACCTCAGGTAGATGCGAGAGGACTGGAGGAGAATCATGTGTAACACGATGGGACATCATATTGATTCACATTTTCCACCTCATCTTCCCACCACATCGGAAAAATCGGAGGTCCAAATCCAAACACCGCCCTCTCAACATCTTCCTCCATCTTCAGTCTCAGCAGCTCAAGCCTGGAGATGCCCAGGCTCCGAAAGGCCATCCGCTCATCAGCCCGGAATTCCGATGTATTTGGGGATCCACTAGCTTAAGCTGGCTTAAACTTTGTTGCATCATATACACGGACTTTTTGGGAAACCGGTTTGGACAAATAAAGTCCATGCTTTTACAAATTTAAAAGTTGCGTGTCATTCAAAAGCATGTCATTCAAATGTTACGTGTCGACATGTCGCCGACCCCCCAGTAGGTTCTCTCATGTTCCATCGAGATGACCTGTCGACCGACCACCTTGAGCATCCATGTTCCGTCATGTTCCGTCCACGTGTTGAGCAGGGTCAGTCTGGCGCCAGGACCTCCGTCCGAACGCCTGAGACCTGAACCAAGTCTCCACGGGTCGGTGTTGGAGGGTTTGGGACTCGCCTACTACTATATAGGCTCCATGCACATTTTGTGTTCATGATGCCATAGGCCAAAGAAGATAGATATATATATATATATATACATGAAAGGTGTTGCCAAATACAAACTCACAACCTCTCTCCTGCTATCTACTGAAAATCCCAACTGAGATGTATATATCCTCAAGCAAAACTGCCTCCTAGTCATCCTCAGAACGTCCTTTCACCTTCACTTGCGGCCCATGGACTTAGCTTCGCAGCTGCGACCCCTTGTCTGCCATCCGAAGAACACTTGATGTTCTTGAGGCAGAGGCTCTTCGATCTCCAAAGAATGTTCCTCTTTGGCTTTGAGCAGTCTTGGACAAACCGGCCCAAGCCGGAATGACGGTGCCCAAAATCAGGAGTGCCCAGCCTCTGCAACCATCCTCTGTGTCTCATCCATCAAGTAGAAGAATTCTTGATCAACCCAGAGAAGAATCAACTGGGTCTTACAAAGTCCCATATGTATCACAGACCAGGGTCCGAACGTTCAGGTCTCTCAACCTCTCTTGGAATTGACACCCAGAAAAAGCCTCGAACCGACCACGCCATGCCGACCACGCCTCGACCCAAGGATGGGATCTCTGGGGCAGGACTGGCTTGTCGGCGCAGCTCCGTGGGAGCAGGGCTTATGGTAAGCCTGTCGCGCGTGGCGGTGCCCTCCCGTGATGGGAGTGAGCCTCAATGGGAAAGACGCTACTGTGTCTATATATATATAGAGAGAATCGCCCCTGATCTTGGTACCTATATAAGTACACCTTTCACTTAATCTACAGAAAAATGATCCCCAACACAAATGCTCTTCACTCATCTGCCAAAAAGCACCAGCAAGTGGCGGGTCCCGGACCTCGGGGGCCTCGGGGGTCCGACACCAAGCACTGGCAGCCAGGCCCGGAGAGGGGCCCGGGAGGGCTCACCAGCATCTTCCGCAGCATGTTGCCCTTCTCCCCATGGTTCTACCCACAGACTGCCACCAAGAGCACCAAGCAACCAAACTGACATGGGTCTCGCTGGCATGGGGTTCCGGGTTCCGCCCAAAAAGAAAAACGACTCGGTGCGCACCGCACTGGGCCTGGAAGTACGGGAGCCGTACATGATATCACCTGAGCTGCGTTTAAAAGAACCAGAGCGATGGAGGCCGGACGAGGACGGCGTCAGGCTGCCAGAGATTCTGCCAAAGCTGATCCTAGTAGAAGCCCTGGCGGGTGGACCCAGCGCAGGTGGAACACTGGGTCCACACCTGTTCGTATCTCTTTAGTGGGGGGGGTCACCAATTATCCCAAAGGAGGTTACTTGTTCTGGGTAGGCCTTGGAAAAGCTTGACACCCTTCGATACTGTGGCAAGTCGTGCAGAAAGTGCGAGAATGGCAGGCGTCTGGACATAGTCCATAGGCACCAAATCTGAAAAGTGTTAGCTGTTAGCAAACTTGGCAACGAACAAGCCTTGTCTCTGTTTGAAGCTTTGCTGTAACACTGCAATATGAATATGCATATGTATCACTTCTTAAGAATACTGAGTGTGTTGTATTAATTTAGGTTCGACATGCCAACACCAGCTAGGGCAGCTGGGGTACTGCTAGGATTAAATACCCAAAAGCTCACATGCACGTCTCAAATCGACTGGCTCACTGCATTCTAGGCATGTTCCTTTTCTTTCTCTTACTTGGAGCTCGAGGTGCAAGCTAGAAGTTCTCTTTTCAACACGACTGTTTCATTTCTTTTCTGGTCATTGTTGGCCAACCACCAAACACGCCTGGCTATTGGGTTCAGGAAAGGAGTAGCCTACTACCATCGACATCCACTCGAAACAAATGCCCAGTTCAGGTCGAACGGGGCCACCGGTGCCAGCCGAGCTGACCGTGTCACTCTCTGAGCTTCCCGGGCTGGGATTGCGCTCGGAGGCGGCGCTGCTCCGCGTATTCATCATGTGATATCGGCCCTCGATTCCACGAGGGCCACGCACACGCGCGTTTGTTACGGCGCCGTGTCAGGTGTGGGAGGGTGGGGGGGTGACTGTGCGTAAGTTCGTGCACGGCCTTATTCCTGATGACTGAACGTGGAAGCGTGAAACATGATGAAACAGTATACTTATGCAACATCCTCTCAGTGAATCATCCGAACCTCACTTAGGCCCGCCCAAACCTCCGAACCACCCGTCCTGCAGTCTTGAGCTAGGCGAGGTGCCAGCCGCCCACCACCTCAGGAATGGTTGGAAGGGTGGCCCTTTCGACTCACTCGAAGTGAACAATTGTATACTGTATACTCATAATCCTCCGCGTGGCAACCCAAAGAGGTTGAACAGCCTTATAGTCCATCCCATATGTATCACTACAGGGTCCGAACGTTCAGGTCTCTCAACTCTGTCTGTGCCCCCCTCCCCGTGCTTTACATGGAATCTTCTTCAACCCACTGGGTGAGGATGACGACTTGCCAGTTGGGATGCTTTTGACATGCGAAGAACTGAAACAAACGGTCTGCCTGAAGAGCAGTGGAGTCTAAATACGTGGAGGAAGTGAACATATCTGGGCATGATGCGGCCGATGATCAGTTTCGTAAAGACTGCTGTGGCTGTGCAGTGGCAGTTCTCTCTGCAAGTGCAAGTGGCAATGATTCTCTCTGCTGTGCAGTTGTTCCACCTATGGATCGTTCAGAGGGATACCCTGCAGGTCCTGGTCACTTCCTCACCTCCTAACCACGTGCTAGAAATCTTACCCCCGTGTAATCGATCACGAAGGCCTCAATTCTCAAGTCATCTCAATTCGTTTGACCCCTTCGTAACGAATCTCTCCATCGTCTCCATCGTCGTCCCATCAAAAAAAATCACTGTCCCAGCCAACATCATAGCGGAAGAAAGGCCACAACTCCCAGAAATCATCATGGAATCCGGAAGTGGCTGATTACCGCCTCTTTGCTCTTCAGAACCTTTATGATCCGATGGTCACTCTAAGTCCTCCCCAAGTTTGGGGGCCGCCCCTGTTCCACGTCCCGCCCTCCGTCCGCCTTTAGGCCACCCCCCCTCTCCTCGCCCCAGGCCCGCCCAGGCCCGCTTCGCCCACCCGCGGCACGGGGAATCGATGCTGGAGCTGCGGAGCTCGTGCGCCCTCGGCTCGGGGCCACAGGGGGGGGCGCTCGGCTTGGGGCTGGGGTGAGGGAAGGGAGGGAAGGGAAAGAACACAGGCAGGCTAGGAACGAACGCCGGGCGAAGGAGATGATGTGAGCTGATGACTTTTGAGGTGATTGGACCCCCTTGGAGCAGTGTTTTGATGAGAAAGGGGGCATAGTTTCAGAGAGTGGTGGGTGATCCAAAATGGAGATCATTTGGGTTCTAGGTGTACACTCAGAGACCCCGGGGTGAAGCCCCATATGCCCTCCGGTGCACAGAAGGGCCAGCATTCCCAGCTGTGCTGCGATATGATGGCCCAAAACTAGAACCCCCCCCGGTCCTTCTTTCCAAATGATGACTACAACCTGGCGGATGTGCGCATCTGAGTTCTTGGCAGCCCTCCGTATTGGATTTATAAAAGGCACAACGCCACCTCAAGCCCCAACATCTCCAACATCTCCCAGTGCCGCCACCCCACCATCCTCCAGAAACCATACACTCCCGAAAACTAACATAGACCCTGACAATGGCCCCCTGGAAGAGCGTGTTCCTCTACCAACCAGTGGTTTTCAGGGTCCATGTTAGTTTCCCAGGGTGTACTGCGATGTGCCACATGAGGGAAAAACCTGTTTGTCATATATGTAAACGAATGCAGCAAACTTCCGCCGAGGCCATGACGGTCCACCAATGCTGGTCGCCCTGCGCCCTTGATTCACTTGATCCCTGGAGCGGGCGAAAGCACGCACTCACTCGTGCACCCCCAAAGCTTATCCATCCTTCGCAGCTTGGATCAGGGACTCGCGTCCAACCGGGAAGGGGGAGTTTGTCTAGTTAAAACTGACACCTCACGCCCGGGGGCGAGTGGATGCCGGATCTCAAGATACCTTCTATGCAGGGCATCGAATGGACTCCGACTGGAGCTGGCAATGGTTCCCAAAACTCGAAGCCTCAAGCCACTTGGGAGTTGCTTTGTCCCGGCAAAATAGTGGAAGAGCCCCTGATTCCCCAGCACTCCGGGAAACTGCACACATTCCAAACATTGAAGAGACTACTCTGAAAACCACCATGGATCATCATCAAGGAGAAAAGAACTGAAAAAAAAAAAAAACATGTATTTAAAAAAGACTCACCTGTACCTACTTGGACCCCCTGGAGGCCTACAATAAATAGTACTACCCCACTTACTCCCAGTTCTCAGGTCTTCCTCCCCACCGCTCTGCGCAGAGCGCGCCACGTCTCTGTGACCCACCGGGACGTGGCGCTCTGACCTCGCCTGAGGGGCCAGGCATCGCCTTGGACCAAACGGCGGGGGGGGGGTTGCGAAGTATCAATGCACCGTTAGCGAGAGAGGTGGAGAGAGGTGAGAAACCTGAACGGATGGGCGGGTGAGAGGTTGAGAGACCTAAACATTCGGCCCCTGTAGAGGTACACAAAGGGATGGGCGACCAAGGGCTGAAAAAAAAGAACTCTCTTGGATCCCGATTTTAGGGCTACACGGATTTGAGGTGTCCGCATGGAAGCTGATGTGCATGGACCTGCAAGGAAGACGGATGCTTCCTCCACACAAGTCCTGTTCAGGTTCCATGCGATGTTCCAGGGCACGGCATAAGTGATAAGTGATCAACTCAAAGCGTCTAGTAGCCATGCTGACTCTCCACATCCGCATGACCCGGAGATCTTGGATTGTGCCATCTACTCTGAAACCACTGTAAGAATGTCATGTTCGGGGCTTCAAAGCGGCAGCTATTGGAACATGTTGGAACCACCGATCTGTTCCAAGCTGTTCTGGACAAGCTGCTTGTATTCGGTAGATGGCACCCGAAACTCGAGGTCCAGCAGTTGAGGAAAAGTTCAAATTTGTAGCCCTCGGGATATAAAAATATATACATTAATTAATGTACAAGCATACCTTCTTAGAAGGTACGACTGGACCCTCCATGCCTGTGTAAATGTGTCTCCAATGCCCTTCTCAGAGGGCATGTGGATCCACAGAGTAATGATGGTAATGAAACAAACAAAATTGGATTGCAAAACATCTTTAATCATCTTTATGTGGGACGCGTACTTGCGGACACTGCGTTCACGCTTCAACGTGGACCCTTGACCTTTAATTTCTGCGGGGCGTGCTTGATCAACAGTTCACAGTTTAAGTTCTCACTTCTCAGTTGGGGCATCATCCCTTATATAGTTCTTAAATGTTCTTGCCATTGGCAAGGACGCTGATCCAAGCTTCACGCATCTTCACGCAGGATGTTTCCCACACCTCCACCACCCCATTGGTTCACTGCACTTCCTCCCCGCAAGCCACAGCTCTCACGTAATGCGCCTTCGACCAAGGTCTTTGAGCGTTGTGAGCCCCGCCCCTCGCGAGCTGCTCAGGGTGACCAAATGATGAATAGGGACTTGGGTGTGGAGAAATGGGATCAAAAGTGCAGAATGTTGCATATAATGACGCAGGGCCCATTTCCTGGAGGTGGTCAGGGCCCATGTTTAAGCAGCAAATGAGACCACAAACGCGTGTGTTCTCGATCCCATGGTGGCGAGAGTGGCACGGCCCATGGCTAGCCACTAGACTGAGAGCGGGCTTCACGCAAACTCGTCAGGAGACGCTGTTACAGTGCAGTTCCCTGCATGGAAATATGTGGTCTATTCATTCAGGATCTTCCATACAATTAATTGCGACACCCGAAATCACCTGAAAATCGCCACCAGTTGACCCAGTGGCTCCCAGCCCCCCCCTGAAAAATCCGCATACCCGGCCTCTCGAGTCAGGAATTCCAAGGTCCGTTCCTGATCCTCCGCAGGAATCCAGGGATGATGCTGGAAGAGGGTCCAAGCACCTTCAACACCTTCAATGCCTTCAACCCAGCCGAAGCCACCCAGCGCTCAGCTCAGTTCACCAGAGACCCGGACGGTAGACCCAATGTCTTGGAACCCTCCTAGACTTGAGTGCCGGAACGATCTTGGAATGATCGGAACACCGTCTTCGCTCGTGCATCTCATCTCCATTGATTTCGTGGGTGGCGAAGGAACCATAGTTGAATCCGAACTCTTTCTTTCATCGGGCCCCCCCAAAAGAACAACTTCAAGTGGCGATGGTCCTCCTTCAGAATGCTCCTCTCTGTGGTTGTAGAAACTTCGGTGAGAATTCCCCACTAACCCAGTTCAGCCAAACACTTTTGGACCATGGTGTACTGGTGTATATATATATACCGTATAGATAATTACATATGACCTGTCAGAACTCTAGACTCTAGAATCATCACAAATTTCAGTCAGTTGTGGCAAAGCCACGTGCAAACCACCACTTGTTGTGCTTTGAGCAAGCAGATGTTCTACGTTGATTCATGGAGGGCCTGGCGTTTGACCAGAAGAATGTATTCCATGTCTGATGATTCTTCTTCTTGCGTGCCATAGGTATGGGGGTGAGAAGGATGTCTGATGATTGTGGAGGTATTTACCTCCTCTTGATGACACAAAATGTTTGATTTCTACTACCCAACGCTCCTGGGAGGGGTCACTCTCTCAAATCCGCTTCTGAGGGACCAAGGATGACCAACGGAGCGTCTGTATGTCTGGGTGCGGTTCCAGCCCTCCCCTTTCTCCGATCTCCTCAGCTTCCATCTCCACAGCTCTGTAGATGTTGTGACGTTGGGCCTCTTTAAAGTCGTCTTCTTGAGGCGAGAAGTCAAACCGTCAAATGAGTCCAATCACAAATGCACTTATCAAACTTCTACTCATACATTGTTTTTAGACACTCACAAACAATCGAGAACAATCGCATCATTAATATGTGTATTATATATTATACTGATTGACTACAATTGATTCATGATAAAGAGACATGGAGGCTCAAATTGACACCTTGGCAATTGCTCTCTGCGAATGGGTAGTTGGTATATTTCAGATTTATATATTCATGCTTCTTCAAGGAGCCGGTGCAGGAAGCAACCATTTGCTATTAAAAACATGACGGCCCTTTGGTGGTCCGCAAAGACAACTTCTTTACTTCACTTCAGTGGTGCCACATTCAGCTTCTCATTGAGTCATTCGTCACTAGTCCATACAAAGCAACATCTTGATCCCGTCCTCTCGGCTCTGGGTCTCCTCTCCCATTACCATAGGGGGTCGCCCTAAAAAATACGAAAAACACCTCCAGCGTCCGGCAGCTCCGGCGGGTGAACCAGGGCGGCCGCACGGCGGCGTCTTGCAGCGAGCTGGCTCGAATGATGCCCGACCTCGGCGCCCAGATTTTTCAATGCGTCCGTCGTCGAGCACCATAGGCGGAATGGCATCACCCTGCGGCAAATTGTGGTTTTCAGAGGCTCTTTCGACGGAGGTCAGTGAGTCTGACGAAAAGCGAGTGGGAGACCACTTCTAGAAGCTGACACGTCCAACCGCTTTCAAAAGAGGGAACATGGTAGGTTGTCTCGGTTTGAATATTGGGAGCGGGAACCTGGAAGACGTTCCAGTATACAAGTGCAAGCTGGGCGACGCCTACACATGCTACACTACACTACGGTTTTGGAGGGGAACCCATGAAAATCCACTGTCTGAGGAGCACACGTGGTGGCGAGGCTCAGCCGGACATGGCATGAAAAATGGACGGAAAATTGGCGGAGTTGTCTACTTCTTGGTCGTACAACTCTTCTCAATCTGATGCTCGTGCTTGATGCTCTTCTTGGTTCTGAGTATGAGTAACGCTTGATGCGTTGAGTCTCAAGAGTTCATGTCATCTCGGCCAAGCCGGCCAAGCCTTGTTGTGTCATCTCTGTGAGCTCTATCCCGTCCCGTTTCTGTGGACACCAGCTGTTGGAACACTGAAGCTGGAAACTCTGGCATCCCTCGTCTCAACAGTACCTGGTGGATCCAGCATGATCCAGCTATCACTCATTTGTGCTTGGTCGCCAGTGCTTCCAAAGACTATCGTCCTCGAGGTTGAATCCCAACAGGATTCTCATGATGCCGCTGTTAAGCCATAGATCTAGAAGCCCTGGTTCATCGTGGTTCCATCTAGTAGCTGCCTATAATTCCACTGGGAATCAGTCTGAGATACTTTGGGTTCCCCTTGTTCATCGAAAACTATATTTGTTATGCATATTCAAACTAATTGGGTATCATATTTACTATATTTATATTTAAGCTAATTTAGGCTGATTCATTTTTGCACTAATTTGTGTATTTAGTTATGTGTTCTTCCAAGTTCTTTGAGCTCAAGTCGGGCCAATGTCAGCTCCACGGTTGATCCTGTGACTCCTACGCCACGTTGGAGGGGCCAGCCCAGGCGGAGCTGCTCAAATCCGATGCTAGGGACTCCATGAAGTCCACAGGAAACTAGACCTATGAGTACCTGACTGCTGACAGAAATCCTGCATCACCTCAAGTACATCATACCGCTCTTTTGATGTCTTGGGAGGCTCCAAGTGGTGATGGTGTGTGCAAACAGCCTCCACATAAGCTTGGACAATCCCACCAACTACGAGTGCACTGATCCAGCATCTTGAGCTTGCTGCATGCTCTACTCTGCAACGTGAGCCCCTGCAGGGTTGTGGACCTTCATTGAGCTGAAGTTGATGTCTGGTTTTGCCCTTCTTTGTCTGAAGCTTCCGACCACAGCCCTCGAAGAGGTACCTCTGGACAGGTGCTTTCGCCATCAGGTCCTGCAGCAGGTCTCGTTGCCGGCATCTGCTTCCTGTGAAAGGTGCGGAGCAGTCGAATGGAAGGCTTTCGAAAAAACAAAACATCCACTCCAGCACCACCCAAAGGGTGGTTATTGGATGGAAATAGATAGACAGGGGGGTCTATATCCTTGGGTGGTGTTGTGTAAGACCATTACCGAAACACTGCCCACACCATTTCTTTGATCGGGCGTCCGAGGGAGGACTATGGACAATGCCGGTGAAACTATATGCAAAACGATGTTCCACCGGCATGGTCCAGATGTTCACCGATCTTTCACAATGGGACTGGGAATTCTTTGCCCCAAAACTCACCTGGAGCGACCCTGCAACACGCCGACGCTGCGGCTGGTGAAAAGCAGTCAGTCTGACGTGTCGGGTTGCCTGCGGCCCGGGGTCCATCGGATCGCTGATGGGATCGCCAGTCCCCATGGAGTGGTTGGGATGGACCAACAAGGCTTCACAGCATGGTATATGAAATACAGGTGTCCAATGGACCAACCAAGGCCTTCGATCACCCTCTCTGACCATCAAAGCCGCAGTTGACCGTCGGAAAAGTCCGCCGCACTGCCTGGTCACCAGTGGTCACCCATCTCAGTTCGTCTGGAAAAGGACCTGAATGTTTGAAGACTCCTGTACCAGCGGCTTCCGAAACCTACAAAAACGTGGGTTCTTTCAAAAAACAAAAAATTGTTTGTTCAGAAAAGCCGAGGTCTTTTGCCACCCACCTCAAAGCCCCAGTAACTCACCTGCGAACAAAAAGAATCTGCTGAGCAGTTGCGGTCAAATCCTACGATGGTGACTGACGTTGGCCCATGCCCACCCCACCGCCTGCGTCGACCACCAACCGCTCTTCAGTCGCTGAAGTCGCTGAAGGGCCGCACCTGGCACACGGCACATCTGGCATGGCCCTGAAGGAACTCGAAGCAACGCGGACGTTTGGTGTTTGAACCCCGAATTACTACCAGCTGTGCATAGCTTTGCAATTTATTCTTACGTCTCTCCTGCCTGAAATTCAGTTGCCAACCCTAGGCCACTGAAAGCCATTTATTCTTATGCCTGGAGAGCCGCATCCAGGATGAAATCCAAATGGTGGGACTTCGGCCATGATTGCCCTTTGTTGGGTGGACTCCCCCCAAAGTTGGATGAGTAGGGGCTGGATTCGTAGGTCCTTCGAGGTGAAGGTGTTTCAACGGGCTTACATTGGTAAGTAAGCTTTAGGAAGTAAAATGATTATAAACTAACTGTGATTATATAATATGTACACTCCCGAAAACTAACATAGACCCTGACAATGGCCCCCTGGAAGATTGTTTTCCTCTACGAACCAACGTGGTTTTCAGGGTCCATGGGATCGTCTTCCAGGGTGTATATGGCTGACATACATTGCAATAAGACTTGGTTAATGGACACCCCGAATCACAGCTTTCTGGGGCCTTTCAATAGACACCCCGACAGGAGGGGCGTGGTACTGACATACATTGAAATAAGACTAAAAAGCATACTCTCCCTGGAACGTCACATGGTTACGTGGAAAAGCACCTGTTTGTCGTGGACTTCATGGTCTTCCGAACTCGGGGCCATGGCATCCACGTCCGAACTCGGGGCCGTTCCAGGGAGTGTGGTCAAACTCCAAGCGCCCAACCAACCGAAATCGATCCCAACAAACGCCTCCACATCCGACAGACGCCTGCCTTCGTTTTGGGCCGAACACCGGAAAACCCCAATGGCCGAGCCGAGCCGAACGCCTTGAAGAGGCCTCCCACCAGAAATGGCCAACTAACGCTGGGTGGAGAGTGCGCTCCACAAATCCTTCCCCTCCGTTACGGTTTAGGTCCGGTCTTCCGCCCTTCGCCCGTCAGTCCAGCTTCATCCACCCGCGCCAGCTCTCGTTCCTTTTTGTTTCCGGGGCCGGAAGAGCGATGCCAGTCCAGCAGGTCAGTCCTCTTCGTTGAAGTCGCCGGGCCAAACGGCGGAACTTCTCCTCTTCGCGTTCGGTCGCGGGCGTGAACTCCGGTCGTTTAGACATGGAGAGCCCGGGGTAACGGGGGAGTTCCGGGTGACCGTGAGAGCTGGGAAGGCGAGATCCGAAGATCTTGGAAGTCCGAAGAAGACTCGGAGTAGATTGGGGCCATGCAAAAGTACCCGAGAACCTGGGTCTTGCTGGCATCTTTCTTCACTGCGTCGACATCCCATCAGTGTGTCCCGAGCTATGGTCGGACGAAAAACGATGGAACTCAGTCACTTAGTCATTTCCTTGGAATTCCCCGGGCGAGCTCGATCGACCGGAGTGGCGCGAAGTGTTCGGGTGTTCTATAGGCGTCGGACGTTCGGCCTCATCTCGCCGGCGTCCATTGAACCTTCTTGGCGAAGCCTTTCACATCCAACAGCAGCCTGACCGTCATAGAAAACCGGGAAAGCCGACTGGTGTGGTGCGACCACGGGAGGGACAGTGGAAGAGCGCTGTGACATGAAATTGGCTGTTCTATGTTCTTCGGAGAGGTGAGCTGGTGGTCCTAACCTCGATCGGTTTTGTTGTGCTGCTACCATCTGTTCTGCCAGCGTCCCCTAAGTCCTAAGCAAATGAAAGTCAGCAAGGAAGGTTCGTGGTTAAAAACGGACGACCTGTACCATGGAAGGCCAACAAAATACGGCGGCACAAACGCACGAAGGATCAATTCGACACCCTGGCTGTTAAATCTCAAAGACATCATGCACATCCAAGAGAAAGACTAACAAATCCAAGCCTCAACCAAGTGTTCTTCGCCTCCGTCCGAGATTCTTCCCCCGCAAAGTCAGGCTTCTGTTGGCAAACATCTAGTCATGCTTAGGCCGTTCATGGCCATGGGCATCTTTAGGTGTGCGGCAGCGGTTTGTGGCGAGGGTGGGACTGCGCTGCGGGAGAACATGATGGTGTCGATCGATGGGGAGCTTCACCGGGGGCCCACTGATGTCCACTGAAGACTCTGCGCCCTCCACCCCTTAGAAGCGTTCCAATGCGATGCCAGGAGCTACTAGGAGCAAGGACGATACTAGGGGCTCCTGGCATCGCTACTAGCAACAAGAAGCGACTAGGGGCTCCTGGCATCGCTACTTGAACCTTCTTGACTTGTTGTTTGGGGAGGAGCTGCAAATATGGACAACCCCCAACATGATCTGCACCAACAACGCTCGGTGCGCGCCACGGAGATGTCGCCTCACGTGGTAAAGTCCACCTTCTTCGATCTTGGCCATCTTGAAGTTAAATCCTTCACACCTGCACCCAGCGAATGGTTTCTGCAAAGTTGACTGTACACAGACTATACTGTACTAATTAGTAATTTTGTCCTGCTCGAAAAAACATCCACTCACCCAGTTGACATAGAAACCAACAGTTTAGGGTGCAAAAAACAAGGATTTCCTCTACCCAAGCAAATTTGCCGCCAAGGCCTCCATTTGGGGTCAGGGCCCTGCACTAGGACCCCCCCCTGAGGGCATCGCTGCGGAACGTCGCCGCTGTGCAAGCACGAGTGGCCGTTCGGGTCCAAATAGACTTGAAAAGCCTCGGTTGGTTGGAAGAGGCTGAAAAAAAATGGATTTCTGGGCATGTGACTGGAAATTCTGGAAACCATGCTAAACCTAGTAGATGTGGTGGATTTGTGTTTTTTGGATGTCCCACTACAAGAATACAGTATCACGACCACTTCCACTGACCTCAAGGGGAGTTGTTCCTCGGGTTAGGATAAACAAGTTGACTACTATAACTAACCTATTAGATGTGCACCTCTTCAGTTTTCCCACTGCCACTCAAAGGGCTCAGAGGTCACATGGTGCCAAATCTTTGTCCACTTGTTGAGTTTGTTCACTTGTGATGCCCATGCCCCAATAAAGCCTACATGGCCTATCACCGACGTCATAGCCACGCCACTGCCTGGGCATCCCCCTGCATGGGCAGGTGAAATGTTCACAGAAACATCGTGGGTCCGGGTCCGGGAAAAAGGGTTCCGAACCTTACAGATTGGGGCCACCTCGGCCGCATCCTTTTGATCGTTTTCTCATCGCAGCGACTGCGAAGTGGATGGTTGCCAGACTCTTCATCCTTCCGGTGCCCATGGCTTCAACAGGGCAACAGCTTTCCGGTGCCTGGGTTCTTCCATGTGTTCCCTGCTATCCGCCCTGAACACGCTCAGTCAACCATGTTAAACATGAGCTGCGGGCGTTTTTTCAGGTCAATGCTCCCTTTCCCCGCGCTGCGTGGCTTGCTGACTTCATGCAAACGAGAGACCTCGGGTCCTGCAACCTGCAAAACAGCTTCTGGGGGATCAAACCAGAACACTCAGTTCACATGAAGAATCTTAACCATGATCGAATACTGCTCCCAAAACTCACATCACCACTGAACAAGAACACAACAACGGCCGCGGTGTATTTGTTCCTGAGGACCGAGTGTTCTCGAACAGTGGCCTCAGCGGAGCGAGAATGGAGATCCCAAGCCACGCCTTGATGGTGCTGGAGAAGAAGTTTTGCTCCTCACTCCTGAGCATCCATGTAGATCCATGTAGGGCATATCATTTAGGGATATGTAGGGCATATGAATATGTACATTGACCCGAAAACATCTCTGAAGCTCCGCAACGGTTGCTACAGTGCTTGAAGACTGCGGCTGGCTAGCGCTCACTCATAAGCCATAAGCCGGTCACGACCTGCTTGTTTCCTCATGCTGATGCCCTGTGATTGGAAAAATATGGAAAAATGACTGACAAGCATCCCAAGAATATTCAAGAACCATGTAATTATCAAACAACAGCCATACCACATGAATCAGTGTCATGGCACGTCCTATTTCAGGACAACTCCCACCAGAACCGTTCAAACTTCCCCCTTGAACAGAACTATATAACACCCCACAACTAGGATTACGTGACAATTGCATCATATAGCATCCTTTCACCCGTGGGATGTCTTGGGTATGTCGGGTTTTTGAGCCATCTTCCTTCACAAAAGGCGGCAGGCCGACCCACGGCCCCCGACCCACGGCTGCGCTGGCCATCTGCCATCTGCCAAGGCTCCAGGTCATTTCTTCGGGCTGCCAGCTATTCCAGCTCCCAGCGATGTAGTAGGTCCTCACCACCCGATGTTTCCAGGTCCCTCATCGGACCACAATCCGGTGGACCAAAGACACGATGAGCTGGTTCGACCTCCATGCTTCGGAACCCTCCCGAAAACGCCTCAAGCCGCCTGTTTGGCCCCCCCAGACGAAACCAAACCATGCGAGCTTCGGACGTTCTTCTTGCCTTCCTGGCCGAGTCCCTCCCACTCCGGCGCACTCTTCGACACTTCGACCCCCTTCGACACCTCGACCCCCTTCGACACGTCGAACCCCAAGGCCAACACCCCGCCTGCGTCGCTGCTTGGTGGCCACCTTCTCCTCCAAGGCTTGACCCTTGGCGGCCTTCTTCTCCAGCAGCCTAGTCGACCCGTCCCACCACTTGACATAAGGAAAGCCGCTACTGAGCTGCCTGCTCCGGCTTTTTGTGAGGGGTTCAACTGGGGATGCATCCTGCTCCGCTGTTCTCTCTTCGCCGAATCCTCCGTGTTGCATCCCAAGGCACTGGCTCCGTTTCTCTTGGATCTTGGCCCGGCGCAAGGCCGTGCGCTCATCCTGGAGACCACGGCGGAGACGTGGCTGGGCGACTGGTCAGGTTTAGCAAAGTGAAGACTTGCTTTTATAGACTTGTTCCTGAGAGGAAATGTCTGAAGACTTCTTGGAAGTTGAAATTGATCCCCACGGGATCCACATGGGCCAATCTCTCAAAGGTTGCACTTCCAATAGGGGCATTCTCATACCATCTCATTGCCATCCGTTCAACAGCTGGCGGAAAATCCATGAACACCCGGGACTGTTCAGCTCCAGCACCGTCTTGGACTCCCCTGGGGCTTCTGGACAGCCTGGGGCTGTTCTGCTCCAGCGGGCGCTTCTCCGTCCTTGGTTCGCTGGTCGACCGGGCCCTCCAGATCTCTCAGCAGCTGGAGGTTGCTCTCATGGACGATCGCACTGCCCAGATCATGGTCCAGCTCCACCTGGCAAAGAGAGAGAGAGAGAGGCCACACATGTGAGGGTTCTGGATGTTTGGGTTTTAAAAGGTTAAAGAAACTCTCCAAACATGGGCCAGATGTGAAAATCGGGATGTGCAGTTGTGCAGTTTTGGAGAGGCTGCATGTTCGGGGTCCAGGGTAAGTAGTGTTCCGGAGGTTTTTCCATGATTCTTCTGGTTGCACTGCACCGCTCTTGCCTATGACAAGGCGCCTGCCTTGGAAGGAAAGGACAAAGTTCGGACGTACGAGTTTAGGACGCCCCTCTGCATGCACAGGTGAACTCGTTCGCCTGGTGCCCCTCGCCCGGCCTAAAAAAGAAAGTGAATGCGACATGCATTGGTCAGAATCGTCTGCACTTGCGGCTAGTCAAGTTTCAAACCCTTGCCTCCGAGTCCTTCTTCCCCAGTACCCTATGAATTATGGACGCTAGGGACGCGTCCCAAAACACGGCGTCAGTGTAGAGGGTGTCCGGATCGCTCGCTGGAATGCAGTTTTCCCAGAAATCTTGGATCTAGCAGGTAGGATTGAGATACCCCCGAAATGAAGAAACCTCCTATATTATTATGGTAGGGTTATTGATCCAACCATGACATCAATGAATACAGTTAAGGCCCATTCAAAATCTTTCAAACCTGACAGTGTGTGTCATTTCTGTCTGCTCTCAGCCGAAACTTTTGGACTCACAAAGCTGCTTAGCAGCTTAACATTCAAAGCCAAGTGTCCGATGCTACCTGCTTCCCTTCTCCATGCAAAAAAAACGGACAATGTCGTACTTTCGAACCGAACCAAAGCACCTATATTCTTCCAAAACCTAGCTCAGTATATACACTACACACCTATCTCATGTTGAGAGGCTATTGATCCACCGGCAACGTGTCCCGGTCGCCTTCCATTTGCCATCTCCGAAGCTGCTCAGCAGTGTCCCGGTCGCGCCGTTCTTCCCACGAACCCCCGAGAGGCTGATCCTGGCACCGCGCACCCGAAAGCAACGTGTTGAACACGACTGGCATGGCTGTGACTCAAGCATGAAATGCCACGCCAAAACATGCCGGACAAAACACACACACACACACTGAGTAACACGTGACCCAAAAAAGAAAAGGAGTAAAAGGAGCAACATGCGTTAGATTCTACCGTTAGATCATCTCTGGTCCCCTCGTCAGTGCAACACACACCTGCGAGCGTGGGTGTAAGTTACTTTAAGTAGAAGGCACCTCCAGGTTTATCACTGTTCCCCTTTTTGCTCAACACACCCCTATGACTGCGCAGCCGGCACAGACTTAGATAGCGTGAACTCAGCTTGCTTCAGGTCTCCACTTCGATGCCAGACTCAGTGGCAATCTGCAGCCCTTCTGAGCCTACAAGTCAAAGCCTGGCCGCCCATACACCTCCAAAGCCACCATTTGGTCACATTGGTTTCACCAGGTTTCCCCATGAACATCCTTGGAATTTGGGGAATATGCTTGATGAACTTGTCCCACATGGGACCACGGTTTTTAAAAAATGCTCAAGGGCATATGGAAAACAACCAGAGTAGCCCTCTGGGGAGAATTCTCCCACACAGCAGGGAATAACCTTCTAAATGCTCAAGTCTTCCAGCTTGCTTGACTTCCCAGCTAGCTGGCCCACGCCCCACGCCTGGTGCCCGACATCCAAGGAGAGGGCTGCTGACCTGGTGCGGAATCCACGAACTACAACGGCCTCGGGTCGGACCAAGTTGTTATCTTTTTTGTTTGCTACAGTATGTTTTGGTCTATGTCTGTCTTATGTGCACTCGATTTTTTCAGTATCAGTAGCATGCTGAACAAATGACAATGTATCAGAAGATGTGTTCTTTTGGTGCAAACAGCGCGCATCTACATATCTACAAGTTCTCAGGGTTGAACCTCATCGTCTAGCGCGCCTCTTCCCTCCAGAAGCTCTGGCCAGCCGCCCAGTGGCGAGGTGTCTGGCAGATTCCCAGGCACTGGACCTCAAGCACTGGAGGGCCGGGTGCACATGGACCAGAGAGAGGGAGAGAGAGGTAGAGAGAGCAGCTTCCTTCCCTTGGTGAAAGCACTGCAGGTGTTCAGAAGAAGAAGAATAAGAAACTGGGTTGGCCTTTGGGCCTTGCCGAAAAATGTTTTCTCATTTGGCCATTTGGGGGTTTGGTGCACATAAACTTAGTCTTATAACCAGACAAAAGTTAAGCACACCTTTTTACTCAACAACGCGAAAGGTCAGCGGTCAGCAGAAGCACCTGGCCAACAAAGGTTTAAAGCGAAGTAAAGCAAAGCAAGAAACAAAGCAAAGGAAGAAAGTGGAAGGCGGCAACCGCACCCTTTTGGACAGTCAAACGGCGGTGACGTTTGGGGCCCATATGGGACCTTCCCAACTGTGAGGCTGAGGCTCTTGTGAAAATAGACTTGATGTGGTCAGGCCTTGGCCGCACGCCAGCCGCCTTTGGCTGGTCAGGCTGGTCAGACAAAGTTGAGGCTGAGCCATTGGTGGCCTTTGAAACTTTGCTAAACACGGCGCCATCCCTGTTGTCAATCCTTCGCACTTTCCGAAGAAAACCGCAAACATCACTTAAGCCATTGATGTGCCAGTAGTCAGGCTTAGGCTTGGACAGGTCAGGCTTGGAATGGTCTTCATCCTCCACTGTCCACTTGCCAGACTTGTCAGCCCGGGCCAACTTATGAAAGCTGGCTGCCAAATCTGGATAGACAGTCCTGAACCTCTTTGTCAACATGAGCTTGGCTATCATCAAGCCTAGCGACTTCTGAAACATCATGACATCAGGGAAATGTGGCCGTCTAAGATCGAGTTCCCTCCACTTGTTGGACTGAACCACTGCACAGCCAAGCGCAACCACGAGCAACGCTAACTGGACAGTGCCTCTCTTTGGAGGCGCATCAGACGCAAACAGAACGTCAGACCTCATGTTCTTGACCACGACATAGTCAACCCTGTTGTCAAACACAGCGTCATTGCAGCCCCAGGCCATCACAACAACAGACCCCTTTGGCTTGTCTTGCGACACATCAGACAAGGGGACATCGGCCACATTGACAACCACATTCCACTGTCTCTGGGCTTCCAAACACACCTGACCAGGCTTGAAAACGCCCCCAGGCCTCATGTTAGTCAGTGAATGCGTGCGGAACGCCGACCTGTTGACAGTCCACTGGTTTTTGGTGTAACTTCTGAACTTCTGCAGGCCATCATTCTTGTCAGGCTGGTGTTGTCGAAGTAGTCGCGGAAAGAGGTCACCAAGCTTCTTGCCTGCCACTGTGTTTGCCTGGTCGGACCGGTCAGACCGGTCAAGCATGCGTTTGATGGACTGTCTTCGGGCATTGACGACAGACACTTCACTTCCAGGCTTCTCGGGCCTCTTCACGCCAGCGTCAGACCTCTGCTTGTATAAAGCAAACCGTCTTCCATGGTGCCTGAGCCAAAGACCTGCCCAATCCCTTGAAAGGTCAGTCAAGCCATGAGCTGCTTGAGTGAGGCCACTCTTCTCATCAGCTTTGTTCCTGATGCAAATTTCATCCACCTTCTGTGGGCCACCCAACACAACCAATAGCATCTCGTCCATGGTCAAGCCAGAGTCCAACATTGGCCCACAGTGCTTCTCCAACAAGGACTTGGTCAAGCTCAGGCTTTGTTCAACTGCAACCGTAGTTTGCTCTATGGAACAATACCACGCTATCAAGGGTGTGACAAACCTCAGCTCACGCAAGTTGCCAAGTTTGGTGCCCCACCAAGTCTTGTTGTCAATCTCGTCAGTCTCAGTCGTTGTCCTGCAGGGGTTCATATGTGACTGTGGAAAGCATTGGCTCTCAAAATGACTGTCTTTGGTGAGCCTGAACTAAACATCAAATCATTGTGACCCTAGCCCAAGATTCAACTAACTGAAGCGGTTGACAGGACCGGTCCCTCCTCTTGGCATAGACAAGCCTCAGGGCACATGCGCTGAACTCTTCTCCCAGCTTAGCCTCGTCGCCAGGGTTGGACAAGATGCGAGTCCCCTGAAATGACCTGGCCAAAGCAATGGCACGGCATCTTAGGTCAGTGTCAATCTTGGCTGCTGCATGCATGTCAGACCGCTGCAAGGCCACCATCTTCTCCCACCGCTTCAAATCAAAACATGCAAAGTTGAGGTGAGTGCCTCTGTCCGGAAACTCTGCAGTAAGTCTATCCTAAGTTGACCAAATTCAGTACTTCAGTTGAGTGAACAATGTATAAATATAATTATTAAAGTTTAACTTACACCAACTGACTACAAAATCTAGGACACTGCGGAGGCTCCAAACTTGCCTCAGCAATACTCCTCATGGATGTCATAGCTCTCTTGATGTCATCCGCCCCTGTTGGGCTCCAGAGGGTGAACAATCTGCTGCCAACAATGAGTGGTGGCGTTTCTTTGGCAACCTTTATGGCCATAGCGGTGTATGACCTGAAGTCTCAGCACAATCAAAATGACCAGTGACGAACATCCCAACAGCTACCTGAACTGGTTTCTCTGCTTCATGGCTTCCTCGACAATTCAAGTCTTAGTCCTATTAAGTGTCTTTTGACTTAAACCTGTCGGTGAGAAAGCAATCTGATCATCAAAAAGCGGTCTTTATGATAAACAAAGGGCTGGTTCTCGTCTTCATCAGGCTGGTCAGGCTGGACCAGAATCCCACCATCAATGTACAGCTTGCTCACCCTGGACTTGTAATCGTCAAGGTGGTCTTTGGCCAGCGCTATGTCAGACAACCGCTGTGCCTCAAATATTTTGACAAGGCGCCCCGCGTCATCCCCCCAATCTGCCATAAGGCCAGCTATGGCTGCGTGGTGAGGGGTCATGCGTTCAAGCATCGACAGTGCTCGATCTCGTTCTTTGCCTGTCAGACGTAAGTCAGCCGCGCGGAGTGACAGGAGTAAGGCAATGGAGGACTGCAAAAACACATACCTGCGCTGCGGGACAACTGTGGATTCCCACCTGTGCGCTGCAAACGACATATGCCGGAGAACAGTTGTCAAACCTGTACTGGATTTCGGCCCGAAGCCGTTGTCAAGCGTGGCATTCCTTGGATCCATCACCATGCCAAGTGGTGATGTGGGCAGAGTTGAATGAACTAACACTCTCAGATGCCTATTGCACAACGACTCGTCAGTCAAAAGCCCGAAACAGGTGCCAAGCTTTAACTATTAAGACTAAAAAAATTGCTGAGACACAAACAAGCCACTGGGCAGCAACCAGGGTATACCGCAACTTTTGCGAATACTGTATTGACGGAACAAGACTATGTTTCGAGTCAAACACCTGAAGTTGGGTTGGGGCAGCCAACAATCACAGAAGGACCACCCACCCCAAAAGGACAACAACCAATCATTAATAAAAGGTTCAGCCTAATGACGAGCTCCAAGAAACGTCAGACCACCATCCAGCAAAGTCAGTCTCCACTTGGCATGGCGTCATGCAAGCAATTCTGATGGTGTGAACCGGATCCTTGATGCACAGGCTGACCTTCCCGAACCCACATGTCAGATAGGCACGGGCCTTCGTCATTGGCCTCGCTCCATCTGTCACAATGGTGTGAACTTTTGGCAATATTGAGTCATACCTGACTGGCCGGCAAACAACATTTAGAGACCCTCAACAGCCTGGTACACTTATGGTACACAAACACATCAGGAACACCAAATTAAAAAAACTGATGAGTCAGTCGACTGGGTTGCAATGTTGCGTCAAACACGCCATCAAGGCTTGTGCACGCTGCCGCCAGTAGCCCTGCAATGCTCTGGCAAACCTTTATGGCATAGTCTTCGTCGTAGTTCTGCAAGTCACCACTTCTTGTGGGAACCTTGAACTTGGCGATTCAACAATTGTCATTAGGGTCTTGTGACAACAATAATGACGACTCCGACAAAAATTATTAAAATCATCATCAAAGCAGCCACACCAAGTAACCCACGGTCAACCAAGACATGCCCCTTCGTTGTCAATCTGGCTGCCTGGAACCGAACCAAGCGGTATGGATCCTTGTCATCAATTGTCAGGCACAACGAGGAGCAGTCAGACAGAATGGAACGGTTGTGTTCTCGCACTGTTTCAGCCATTATTGAGCACATGTTGCGAATCTGCTTCCTGTAGGGGCCCCTTGATCTGGCATCTGTCAAGCTTGTCAAGTACTCTTCCACATTCATATGTTTCTCCTAAGTCTGGAGGCGAGAAGACTAATTTAATGCTCAATGTCAGTAAACAGCCACATAGGAATGTTTTTAACAAATAATTAAATAATATAATGGCTGAACATGCCAAAATTCGGCCGTGTTGAATGAAGCATGTCGCAGCATCTGCCAAACACGGACCCAATCCTTCACCTGAGGGACAGCTCCCCGCAAAAGGTCAATGTCATCGACATTGTCAGACATGATGTCAATCAGAGTCTTGACTGGCCCAGGGTCCAAGAAGTTCTGACAGGCCAATTTGTGCATTGAAGAACGCATGTGCTGCACAAAGCAAGAAGACTGCATGCTTGCCAGACTGCGCCTCGGAGTGTCCACAATTTATAATTACTAGTCAGTTGAGAACAGTCCGCAATGAATGCATCAGACTGATGCCCGGCCGGGCATTACACAGTGACTGTTCAGTCAGAGTGAGGAGGGTAGGAGGTGGTCT